AGGAGTGCAGACTTCAACCAGAAGGCAGTGGGAGGTTGTGAAAGTCTTCCATTGCTGCATGGAGAGACCAGGCCAGAGGACGGGACACTGAGGCAGAGACCAGGTGGAAGATAACAACCTAAAGGGAGGAAAAGAGTGAATAAGGAAGTAGAAGCTTTATGAAAATAGTAGAAATAGAACTAATAGAAGCTAATGATGTGAAGACTGAATAAAAAGAAATACTGTCCGGGGATACTCTGTTTCTGGCTTGGGAAATTGTATGGAAGGTGGTTCCGTTACCTAAAGCAGGGAACACAAGAAGCATAAGGAATGGGGTGACAGGAGATAGACTATTCGGGTTAAATTCTGTTTGGGAGATAGACGGGAATAACCACCCAGGTAAAAAGGTCCAAGAGGCAGGCAGGGTGGCCTTAAAGTCAGTCTAGATCCACACCTCCCATCATTGGAGATGACCATCCAAAGCTCCAAGAACAGAATCTGAAGACAGGACATACAGACTCAGTAAACGTTAGCTGTTACTAGTACATGGGTCCCGAAATCAGAAGGGAGAGCTTGACTGGAATGTTGTACAACTCAGGCTTTTTGGCTCTTCCTCTCCCTGCTCATGAGTGCAATTGAATTTCCCAGACACTCACACATACTAGGTAGCATTTGCTCTCTTTTCTTCTGAATACCTGTGGTTCTCACTGGGTCCTGCTGTTCCTACAGGCCTCACCCCATGTCAGCCAAGCAGTGGCACTGCTTCCATCACGATCCATCCTGTACACCAAGTCCCCGTCCTGAAACCCCTTCAGACATCTAAACCAGGCACCCTCACTCAGGCAGCTGCCCACGAGGTGAAGGAGACTCCCAGGAGCCCATCTATGGGGCAGGTGACTTGCCAACTCCCCTTGCACTTGGCTTTCAGGGCCGAGTTACAGGTCCATCTCTACAGGAGACGTTCATGGTTGGTTCAGAGAACCTGAGTGAAAAACACCATATTCAGAATTGAAAATGAGGTTTTGGAACCAAGACAGACTTGGTGTGTCTGCCTTAGCTGAGTTCTCTCCTATGAGATTCCTTACCACTCCATGCAAATAGATTCATTGCAAACCAGCACATAATCTGAACATGGGATTTTCAATCATTGTGAACTCCTGGTCTGGTAATGTAGGATCAGCACTGAACAGTGAGCCACAAGGTCGGCCGTTCAAACCCACCAAGTGCTTCTCAGAAATCCTATCAGGGTTACTATGAGTTGAAACTGACTGGACAGCACTTAACAACCTGGACTCCAAGCTTGGGCATAGCTCAGCTCAAACTGGTCAGCTCAATACAGAAATAATAAGGACATTAATCTTTGGCTGCCTCCCATCTTCCCTTTCCGTGGTACAAGTGACTTGGAGATCAACAACCAGATTGTGGAGGCCAGTGTGTCCCCTTGGAGACTACTAGCTACTGGATTTACGGTCTCCCCACTCTATCAGAACCACACCCAGAGTTATGTCTGTGAACTGAAATACACCAGTCACAAAAGTATCGGCAACAGGACTTCTATGAATTTTGAGATCTTTTTAGATACATTTCTTAATATTACTGAAAAATGCCACAAACATTCCTAATGTGGGTTACATCTCCTAAAGAGGTGTCTTGAAGAGAAGAAAAGCTTGAGACATTTTGAGGATCCCCAAATTCAAAACCGACCTCACAAGCTATCATGTTAGTTAACAAGTCTTCAGGGCGCTACTGAAACAGCAGAATTTAAGATGGTCTTAAGTCCTGGAGATCTATGAAAATTTCATGCTGTGATCGGGAAATCTCTTTGAACAGCTGGAGCATACTTTTGGGTTTGCGCCCAAGAAAAAAATTACAGGAAGAAAGGAACCGTGCTTTTGCCCTGGCATTTTAATACAGTTCATTAAAGTATCTACTAACATACAAGACCGGAGTTCTGGTGCTGTGCTATAGGATAAGCACTGGACTGCTAAATGTACAGTGGGCAGTTCAAACCAACCAGCCACTCCTTAGAAACCCTATACAGGGTCACTATGAGTCAGAACCAACTCAATGGTACTTAACACCAACATATACAGAACTGCTTGTCTGTCATTGGCTTGTGTGATACTGTGAAGCTGGAAGCGATGCTGTTTTAAGTACCAACAGAGTTAGCCTGGTGTGGTGTTGCAGTATAATGCGCTGGACTGCAAGATCAGTTTGAACTACAAAATTGGCCGTTCAAACTCACCATCTGCTCCTTAGAAAGCCTACACAGGGTCCTATGAGTTGGAACCTACTCAAAGGCACCAAACAACAACAGGGTCAACCCTGGTGGACAGGTTCCAGCAGAACTTTCAGACTAAGTCAGACTAGGAAGAAGGAGTGGAGGACCAGTTCTGAATGATTAGACACTGAAAACTTCAATAGTAGCAGACTGTTGTCTCAGGGTGGAAAGCACTCAAAATACAGCTCGGGAAGAGCAGCCTCCTCTAATATATTGGACCTTAATTGTATAGATGGAGCAAAGCTTTTGGGCCCTTCATTTGCTGATAGGGCACAACTCAAAATGAGGAGAAACCACTGCAGACATCCATAAAATCTCGTGGAAGCAGCAGTCAATAAATCAAATGGCATATTACATTGGGCAAATCCAAGCAAAGGACCTCTTTAAAATGTAAAAGAGCAAAGATGTCACTTTGAGGACTAAGGTGTGCCACAGTATTTTCACTTGCCTCCTGTGCATGTGAAAATTGGACAAGAACTAAGAAGGCCGTAGGAGAATCAACGCCTTTGAATTACGGTGTTGATGAGGAACATTGACTGTACCATGGACTGTCAGAAGACCTGTGCTGGAAGAAATCCAGCCAGAATGCTCCTTAGAAATGAAGATGACAAGACTTTGTCTCTTGTACTTTGGACATACTGTCAGGAGTAGGATGTCAGGCTTGGTAAAGTGAAGGGTCATCAAAAACGGGAAGACTCCCAATGATATGGATTGATGCAGTGGCAGCAACAATGGGCTCAAACGTAACACTTTTGAGGATAGTAAAGGACCGGGCAGTCTTTAGTTCTATTGTCAGAGGTAGAGCATTGCTATGTGTCTCCATGACACCTAACAACAACATATACAAATGGGTCCTGCACATAGTTAACTCGCTTGACTACCCAGAGGTGCCTTGGAAGACAGGCCTGCAGATCTACTTGCAAAAATTTCAATCAGTGAAACCCCTTTGGACCATATTTCTACTCAGGCACATGTGCAATCACCATGAGTCAATTACAGCATCCGGTTCTAATCAATGGCTTGTTCTCTATTTTCCGAAAGGGCTCCTCCTGCCAGCTGGTAAGTAGTAATGAGCACGTTGTTGTTGTTGTCAGGTGCCATCGAGTCGGTACCGACTCATAGCGACATTATGCACAGCAGAACGAAACACTGCCTGATCCTGGGCCAACCTCACTATTGTTGCCACACTTGAGCCCATTGATGCTGCCACTTGCCCAATCCATCTCATTGGGGGTCTTCCTCTTTTTCTCTGACCCTCTACCTTACCAAACATGATAGCCTTCTCCAGTGACTGGTCCCTCCTGACAATATGTCTGAAGTATGAGAGACAAAGTTTGGCCATCCTGGCCTCCAAGGAGCATTCTGGCTGTACTTCTTCCAACACAGATCTGTTGGTTCTTTTGGCAGCCCGTGGCACTTTCAATATTCTCCTCCAACACCATAACTCAAAAGCATCAATTCTATGGTCTTCCTTATTCACTGGCCAGCTTTTGCATGCATATGAGGTTATTGAAAATACCATGGCTTAGGTCAAGCGCACCTTAGTCCTTAAGCTGATATCTTTGCTCTTCAACACTTTAAAAAGGTCTTATGCAGCAGATTTGCCTAATGCATATATAATACGTCATTTGATTTCTTGACTGCTGCTTCCATGAGTGTTGCTAGTTGATCCAAAAAGAATGAAGTCCTTGACAACTTCAATCTTTTCTCCATTGATAAAAATGTTTATTAGTCCAGTAATAAACATAGGTTACAAATAACCTCCATCTCTTCCTTCTCTGCCTTACCACCACTTGGAGTGTTTTAATTAGCAATATAACTAACAGAGATTAACATCTTATCACTCTCAATTCTGTCATTGACCTAAAGAAAACCACAGCCATTGAGACTCTACTACATTCAAAACACGATCCAAAGATGTATCTAAAATCAATGATTTTAAATGTAGCACCCAAGAACTGAGCTGTATGCAAGAGAAAAAGAGGGACCCTGTTACATACAGATGATTGGCTTAGAGCATCAAAACTGTATCATTTCCATGCAGAAGCAGAGCCTTTCCTAGTGGGATGAGACAAAACGAATCTTCCAGATGTAAATTAAGACTCAGGGGCTTGCCCTTTTAGACTTGCCTCAATTTTGTGTTTTTATATAGGACACAGTAGCCATTGAAGCCACACAAAATTCAAGGATACCCTTACATAGCACTTAGAGCCCACTGAGATAAAATGATGGATCAAAAGGATTATTTTTACTTAATGAAGCCTTCTGGGTTTCCACTCTCACTAACTCTATTTTTAACAGGAAGTTGTGTTCAAGGGCTAGAATTTGGAAATTCCACTACAGCAATATAATCATTCAGCTCTGATTAATTTAATTGAAACAAGGCTCTTGAGAAATCTTGCTGTGCTGATAATTACAAAATTAGAAATGGGTGGGAGAGAGAGGGAGATAATGGGAGGGCTTTTTCCCATCCAAAATTAGCTTAATGTATTAATTCAGAAAGTCGGTTGCATCAGTTGTGTACCTCAGTAATCTGAACCATCTGTCCGGGTATACTAAAGAGTTTGTTGTTATAATCCAGCTTAGGGCTGGCAACCCACTCTTCTCCACATTATGCCCTTGAATAGAGGAGGCTGAGCAAAGGCCTTTGTCCCTCAACATATTGCTATTGTTGAGGCTACTTGGTTTGTTTGGTGTTTTGTTTTCCAGGTTTTGTCTGTATTTGGATTTTGTTTTTCTGGGGCAGAAGCAATGGCTTTCTTTGTGAAAAATGTGATAAGTAGCCAGATAAAGAATTTAGGATTTGGTGGTGGGTCTGAGACAAAAAATGAAGAAGGTGGTTCACCGGATCCTGCTGCAGCTCAAGGCATGACTAGAGAGGAATATGAAGAGTATCAGAAGCAAATGATTGAGGAGAAGTGAGTACCCGCAACTTCGTGTTTCCCTTTAAGAGCAAAAGGCATTCATTCCAGCCAGGCCTTCTGCAATTCCTCGGTGGGTTCCTCTTGTAGCTAGTACTAGCTGCCTTTGCTTTTGCTTCCAACCCCTAACACTGAGGAAAGATGCTTCCTGCCAAAGAGAACCACTTCCTAGCATCAACAACTACTATATCCTACTTGTGTGAATGCAAATAGCAAATAAAGGGAGCACAAGCCTTTCATGACTGAAATCTTTTCGGCTTTGAATTTTGTGTTAGTATCATGTATTTTCAGTAATGAAAGGCATACTGAAATCAAGGGGGCTTTTTTTTTTTTTTTTTGAGGTAACATGGATTTTAATACAGTGGTGTGGGACACAAAAGTCCCAAGTGGAGTCTGGTGGTAGGATTGCTGGGGTGAAGCCTGCTTCCTCAGATTCAGGCCCCCAGCAGGAGAGAGTATGTACTGCAACTGGGATACCAGTTTCCCAAGAAACCTGAGAGGCTGAAAATGCTGGTGGGCAAGAGACGAGAGTTTCAAAAAGCTCATGGGAACATTCGCGATCTTTTCATTCACCTTTTTCATGAACTTTTTGAAGTATGTCCCATGGGTCACAAAAGGCTTATGACTTTCTGGTCTAGACACATTTTAATCAATAACATTTTAGTTCAAATGTAAATTGTGAGTTTAACTCTCTTTACAGTCTTTCTGCAATTCACCCTGCTAACAACTAAAAAGCTTATGTGCCGCGGAGTTGGTTCCGACTCATAGTGACCCTGTACAGGGTTTCCGAGGCTGTAAATCTTTACGGGAGCAGAAAGCCTCATCTCTCTCCCGCAGAACAGCTGGTAGTTTCAAACTGCTGACCTTGCGGTTCAGAGCCCAATTCGTAACCACTACGCTAAAACCCTAAGAATTCAGATTTCACACCTGGAGGAGGATCTTAAAGGACATGTATCGGGGGCAGGAGCCGCGCTGCTTAGGGCACACACAGTGAGCTTCTGTGAAGGGTGATGGGAAAGATTGGAAAGGGACAGTGTGATGACTGAACAGCATGATGAAGGTTTTTACAAATTTTAAAGTTAAAGCATGGTTGTTTTTGTCTGTTGCAGGTGATAGCTTTGAAGCAATAGGCCCTTCCTTTAGTTCTGCAAGGAGCAGGGAAGGAAAACATATAATATAGACTCGTTGACATTGTATGTGTAAAGAAAGTCTAGAAAACACAGATTGTAATTCTGTCATAAGCATGGCTTCTCCATGACTGTGAAAAGTTTTTTGTGAAAAATTTTAAACATGGAAAAGTATAAGGACTCCCTGTAAATATATGCCCATAATGTAAATTTGACAGCATTTTGCTATGTTTGTTTATCGGTAGATAGGTAGATAGACAGACAGACATATAGACAATAGATGTTGTTAAGTGCCATTGAGTCGGGTATAACTCATAGCAATCCTGAGTAGGGTTTCTGAGGTACAATTGGTAGATTTGAACCACTGGCCCTGTGGTTAGCAGTCCGGTGCTTCTCCTACAGCACCACACCAGGACTCCAAACAATGGCTAATGATTTTAAAGTAAATTACAGACATCATGATATTTCACTCCTAAATAGCCATTGTTGTTGTTGTTAAGTGCCATCGAGTCAGTTCTGACCCATAGCGACCCTGTACAGAGTTTCCAAGGAACGGCTGGTGAGCTTGAACTTCCAATCTGGCAGTTCAAACCAACTTTGTAGTCCAGCACATTAACCCACAGTGCTACAATAAGGACATTCTCCTGGCTATTCAAATGTAATAAAAGTCAAACATTAGCAACAATTTAGTTGGATATTATGGATATGAGTAATACCAACAATTTTTCACTGATGAAGACGAAGCCATAAATAAGGGTAATCTATACGTACGCTTTGGAGTCCTGGAGTGGCACTGCAGGTAATGCACTGGACCACAAGGTCTGCAGTTCAAACTCACCAGTCGCTCCTCGGAAACCCTATACAGGGTCTCTATGAGTTAGAACCCACTGCAGAGCATTTAGCAACAAAACAACAAATTTACAGGTTAGAGGCTTAAGGCAGAATTAGTTAAAGAGTCTTTTAATAATCAACTGAGAATTGAAGCATCAATCTAGAGGTTAAATGTTCATCATATGTTATAAAAGAAAGGTACTTATTTTCTCACCTTAACTGTTATGCTAATGGTAAATTGCCCAAGTCCCATTGCTAAGATGATTATAGGTGAAAGGTCAAGGACTTGGAAGAAGCTAAGAAAATCAAAGACCTACATTGAGTGGACAGTTTGTCATCTATTCTTGTGAAAGAAATTGTGGTTTATAAACTACCTAGAATATTCTCTGCAGGGGAAAAAACACAAAGAAAAGTAAATGCCGCTATAAAAATGCTGTTCTTAAGTTAAGAAGCAGCCTTTCTTGGATATTGACTCGTTTTACCTATAGCATGAGAATTGATACTATCAGCTGGTAACATACAAGAAAAATCAGTATAATAAAAAAATAAGCCAAGAACAATAGCACCAAACAGTCTCAGCTCAAGAGGGACAGCAAAAAAAGAAAGGTCTGAAATTTCTACTACACACCTGATCATGTAAAATATCGTTTACTATGTCAAACAATAAATCTGATTAAAGGAAGGAAGCTGCTGGATTGCCTAACGCCCTAGTTTTCTTCAAAGCTCAAAATGGCCAAATGTTATGGTCAGTCAGTGGATTGAGTTATTTGCCAACTAATTGACTTATTATATATGTGAAAATATTCAACATTTATGTAGTCACCCAATTTAGGAACTCATAACAAGACAAGGAGTCCAGTTGAGAGTGAAGCATCCAGCTGATATGAAGTGAGGGGAGATGCATAAACTTACAGATTATACCCATTTGACCTAGCCTCGATGGCTTGATAATCAGAACTCAACTAGAGGAACAGCACACACACACACAAAAAAGATTTTTTTTTTTTAAATAAAGGAAACAAGGGTAAATTGCTACAATTTGATGAACCTGACCTATACTCAGAGACATAGTTACTCTACCAACAGAGAGTCTTCATATCAAGTATCAATGCTATTCCCTCTATACACAGGGTAGATAGGGACGGGCAACTTAGACATTGGCTACCTAAAATGAGGGGGCAATAAAGGCACAGAGTGACTGGCTTACAAGGTTTCAAGAGGGAGTTTAGTTTTAAGAGTATGGGGGGAAAGAAAGAGTCCCCACTGAATAGATTTCATCTTGTCTCAATGGGTCTGGTGAAAAGAAATGGGGATGAGATTTGTATGATTCAATAGTGAATAATTGTTATCATGACTAATTGCAACTGTGGTTTTGTAACAGAAACAGGGGAGTGGTTAATCTTACAGTCCAGAAACAGAGGACCCTAGGACCATCAAGGGAGAAGTGCACAAGCAGAATGCAGGACCTTATCTAGAGAAGCAGCAACACCAGAGACCCAGAGATGGAGGCAGAAATGGGGTCATGGAGAGGGGGAGCGGTTGAAGACTCTAGATTTATGGGAAGAAAGGGACTAAGAGCTGGTGGCCAGGAGGGAGACTTGCAGAATGGGCCGTTTGGGGATGTAAATTATTATATATGCCTGAGTGGTTTTTTTTTTTGTTAGTTTGTTTGTTTTATAAAGCTAAAGTGGATAGAGAGAAATGCTGTTAATTGATGGTACATGGAGGGGATTATGACCATTGTAATGAAACAACAAGGTGAATGATTTGTTAAATGTAAAAGTGATGATCTGTCCTATAAACTTTCTGTCAATCCATAATAAAAACCTTAAAAAAATTAAGAAAATAAATAGGTAAGCCACAGACTGGGAATATAGGTTGGATAATTGTTGTTAATTGCCATCGAGTTGGTTCTGACCCATAGCAACCCTCTATAGGGTTTCCGAGGAGCAGCTGGTGAGTTTGAACCAACGACCTTGCTGTTCAAACAGATTTTGTGGTCTAGTGCATTATCCCACAGAGCCAACCACCTAAACCCAATAAAAGCAACAAAAAAGCCCAAAAAAAACTAAAAACCACACACAAACGAAAAACAGTAAAAGAATTGAACAAATATGTCACAGAAACTTACAAAAGAGTACATGGAAAAGCTGTTTTAATATTATTTAAATATATTTTAATATCATTAAATATTATTAAATATCATTAAATATTATTAAAATATATTGCTGTTGTTAGTTGCCAGTCATTTAACTTGGACTCATGGAGACCCAGTGAGAGTTGGACTAGAATTGTTTTCAATGGCTAATTTTTTGGAAGTAGACAGCAGAGTAAAAGGGAGCAAATAACTAATAAAATAATGTATACAGATGCCGGAAACACAATGCTGAGTGAAAGACACCTTCACAGAAGGATACATAATGTATGATTGCATCTCCATGAAGTTCAAGAACAGGCAAAACTGATGGATGTGGAAAAAAGACAGTAGCTGCCTCTCAGCATGTAAGGGCAGAGGCTGGGGGCCTAAGGGCTCTTTCTCAGGTGCCAGTGATGCTTGATATCTTGATAGGGGATTGGGTTACAAAGGAATATGCAATTATAGGAGCTCATTAAATAGCACACTTAATTACATGTAAATTTTACTTCAAAAGAAAAATATGTAAACAAATATGTAACTGAAGATAATGATCTGGAGTCCTGATGTGGCACTGTAGGATAAGCAGTGGACTGCTAATCGCAAGATCAACAATTCAAACCCACCAGTTGCTCCTCAGAAGCCCTATTTGTTGTTGTTAGGGGCCATCGAGTCGGTACCGACTCATAGCGACCCTATGCACAACAGAACGAAACACTGTCCAGTCCTGGGCCTACCTCACAATTGTTGCCACACTTGAGCCCATTGATGCTGCAACTTTGCCAATCCATCTCACTGGGGGTCTTTCTCATTTTCTCTGACCCTCCACCTTACCAAGAGCTCATTATGAGTAGGAACTGACTTGATAGTACATAACAACAACAGTTAATGATATAAGGAATCCTGGTGGCACAGTGGTAAAGTACTCAGATGCTAACAGAAAAGTCAGCAGTTCAAACCCACCAGCTGCTCCACAGGAGAAAGATGCGGTAATCTGCTTCTGTAAAAATTTGTTATTGTTATTAAGTGCTGTCAAGTTGGTTCCAGCCCCTAGTGACTCTGTGTGGGATTTCCAAGGAGCAGCTGCTGAGTTTGAGCTGCCAAGCTTAGGGTTCAAACTGACCTTGTAGTCAAGTGCTTATCCTACAGCATCACCCCAGGACCTCAGGAACCCTATGTTCTTTATTGTTGCTATGAGTTGGAGTTGACTTAATAGCACCCATGGGTTTTAGTGGTGATATGCATGAAGTATGTTTATTCTCAACTACTTGAGGCTGCCAATTCAAACCCACTTAGTAGTACCACCGGAAACGTACTAGCAATCTGCTCCCCTAAAGTTACAGCCAAGAATGCCCTATGGAGCACAGTCCTGCTTTTGTAACACACAGGGTCACCATGGGTCAGTTAACTTGACAGCAACAGGTGTGTTTGTACTGATGCCAGAGTCTCTGATGGTGTCAAAAGTTAACTCACCCCCTCACTAAAGGTTGGAAGTTAGAGTTCACCCAGGGACCTTAGAAACCAGCATTGTTGTTAAGTGCCATCCAGTTGATTTGGACTCCTATCAACCCTATATGGGGTTTCCGAGGAGTGGCTGGTAGGTTTGAACCGCCGACCTCATAGTTAGCAGTCCAGCACTACAGTGCCACACTAGGACTGCAACGTACCCACCTGAAAATTAAAATGGGATTCATTTTATAGATGCAAGATGCCTCACCAAACCCATGAGCAGTAATCCCACCAGTCCACCCATGGGTCTAAACCAGGCACTTAAAAGCTGTTGGGACACTTTTTTATTATTATTATTTAATAAATGTTTTATTGTGAATTATGTGATAATTTACATGGGAGAACATTAATTTTATATTCATTCTATCGTATATCATTTCATTGCCATGGTTACAATCCCGTCCATGCATCATCAACCAACCAAAGGGTATGTGGGACACTTTTTATCTCTTGTTTCCACCACTGCTAGGCCGCTCAGTGTCCTTCTCAGAGGCCATCCCCAAAACACACACACACACACACACACACACACACACACACACACTCTCTCTCTCTCTCTCTCTCTCTCTCTCTCTTTCTCTCTCTCTTTCTCTCACCCAGAACTCAGGACAGGTGGAAACAGCAGCCCTGCCTCCAGGTCCATCTGTCCCAGTTCTGGCCACACTATATGTCTCTGTCTTTTCACATCCCAACTCCAAATTCCCCAAGAGAAGATTGCATTCACCAGTGTGGTCCAATAGTCTAAAGGTAGCTGCCCATTTAGCTGTGGGCAACTGAGAGGTGTTGGGGGATAGTTACTTGAAAGAAAATCTACTCCCGACCCAGAAAACTTCTCCACAAAAACAGAAGAGAAAGAAAACTTTCATTCTTCAGTAAGCATCAAACCGGAATATGATGCATTGTAAGAAATCTGCTAAAGAGATGTCAAAGACAGGATGAAATCTGGCTCTATATAGCTCCCTAGAGCAACCCCTGATGTTCACGTTTCTGGGTAAAATTGCTCATTTTTAATATCTTTAAGGAAGGAAACCTGAAGTCATCCTAATCTAATGAGAGGGAGGATATGATCTTCCTTGACGATCATATTTGAAAAGGGATGGTTCCCAGGTCCCTGAGGAAATGTGCCTTTTAAAGAGACAGAGAAAGAGTTGACAATGTCAAATTGTCAGGTACCAATTCAGAAAGAACAGGGAGAAGTGAAGCCACTTCCTTATTTTCAACCAAGAGAATGAAAAGCTTTGATTTTCTATTTGGAATTTCCTTACAGGGGTGGGAAGTGGTTGGGGAGGTAGGTGGCAGCTAACTTAGAGGTTGACAGTTCTAGTCTACCAGTGGCATCATGGAACACAGGCCTGGTGAGTTGCCAGAAGAACATATGGAAAAGTTCCACTCAGTACACACAGGGTCTCCATGAATCAGAATTGACAGGATGGTCAAGGATACACTGAATTGATACGGTAACTGTCCTGTTGCCCCGGTTTCCGCCTGCACTAGGGATTGGTAAGTGTATTCCAGCATCCAGTGACGGGAGCAGGACCTGGAATGTCTTGAATTTCTGTGTCCTTAACTTTATCCTCTTGAACCTTCAGAATAGAAAGAGATGCCACCTTCACACACAAAAAGGCTGAGAGGGCGTGCCTCAGAGTCCATCTTCGAGGAAAGTACAGACTTCCAAAGGTAAGAGTCTCTTAACACAAACAACATACGGCCACATCTTTGTTGTTGCTAAGTACCTTTGAGTCAATTCTGACTCATTGCAACCCTGTATAGGGTTTCAAGTAGCAGCTGGTGAATTTGAACCACTGACCTTGTGGTTAGCAGTCCAGTGCTTATCCTACAGTGCCAGTGGTCACTTTTTAGTTAATAAAAATGAAAGAGAATATTGGACCATCAGCAAAAGGGTCCCCTTTATGAATATAGATGTACACACACACGTTTCTGTCTTATTCTTCATTGAGGGCTTTGGTATTTGAAAAAAAAACATTGAACTAGGCTTTCTTCCAAACTGGATTCCAGCCTTTAACCTCTATCAACTGTCACCTCCTCTCCACCAATGGAGCTTAGACCTATAGATGACATGTTTATGTAAAATCTGTTTTTTTTTTTTAAATACACAAATATCATACATACAACAATGATGACTCTCAAAGGCATTATGCTGAGTGAAAGAAACTAGTCTCAAAGGGTTAGATACTAAAGTAAAACCTGCAAAGAGTTGAGTCGGCGGGCTGTGTAAGAGAAGGAAAATTTAAATGTTTCCACTAAAAGGAACAATAGGAAAGTGGCAAGGCTGCATTCTATCAGCGGCAGAAAACATGTGGGATCTGGAAATATAAGACATCCTGTAGAGTTCTGTGACTCTCATAGACTTCAATGTATTGACACTCTCCAAGGAAAGAACAGTGATGGGGACCAGACCAATGGAAGAAGGGGTCAGGGACTGCTAGGGGCAAAACAAAGAAGTGTTTTGTGGGTAATGGAACAGGATTCTATCCTGGTTATAATGGTGGTACGCGAATCTATGTCGTCACTTGCTGTTGACTCAGCTCTGACTCATGATTATCTTACGTATGTTGTTGTTGTTAAGTGCTGTTGAGTTGGTTCCAACTCATATGACCCTGTGTAGGATTTCCAGGGAGCATCTGGTGGGTTTGAACCGCCAACCTATGGTTAGCAGTGCAGTGTTTATCCTATAGTGCCAGCCCAGGACTCCAATCTTATGTATGGAATACAATAAAACATCCTGTGCCGTCGCCATTAAAAAAAAAAAATATATATATATATATATATATATATCAACAGGGAATTTCCAGAAGTTCAAGCTGGATTCAGAAGAGAATGTGGGACAAGGGATATTATTACTGACATCAGATGGATCAGATCATAACTGAAAGCAAAGAATACCAGAAAGATGTTTACTTGTGTTTTATGGACTACGCAAAGGCTTTAGGCTGTGTGGATCATAATAAACTATGGATAACATTGTGACGCATGGGAATGTCAAAACACTTAATAGTGTTCATTTGGACCCACAAATCTTACTTGGAATGAAAGAAAAATTAAACCTACACACACACAGGTGATGCACTGGGCATGTATCTTCTGCAGGATAGGGGTTCTTAAGGATTTGTTTGTGATGACTTTGAGCCATTTCATTTATAGTTTGGTATCTTTTCTTAGAGATGAAAGTAGGACTGGGTTTCGACTACATTGTGTCACTCTGAAGCAATGCAGCCTCAAGAGTCTTTTTAGTATAACTGTCTCTCCACTTAATATATCTTAGATCAGCAGTGGACCATAAACCACAAGGTCAGCAGTTCAAACCCACCAGCTCCTCCTCAGAAGTCCTATACAGGATCGCTATGAGTCGGAACTGACTCGAAAGCAATTAAGAACAACAACATATAGTAATATTTGGAGTCCTGGTATGGTGCTGTAGGATAAACACTGGACTGCAAACAACTGCAGCATTGGCAGTTCAAACCCACCAGCCACTCCTCAGAAATGCTATACAGGATGGCTATGATTTGGAACCAACTCAACAGCACTTAATAATATATATGTTATATTACATTAATATATAAAATGTATATTATTCACTATATACTAATTATATAATTGGACAATGAATAAAGAAAACCATACAACAATTGATGCATTTGAGTTATGGTGTTGGAGGGGAGTATTGAAAGTACCATGGGCCACCAAAAGAATAAACAAATCTGTGTTGGGAGAAATACACCCAGAATACTCCTTAGAAGTCAGGATGGCAAGACTTAGTCCCTCATGTTGTTGTTGTTAGGTGCCATCGAGTGGGTACTGACTCATAACGACCCTATGCACAGAAGAATGAAACACTGCCCGATCCTGGGCCAACCTCATCACTGTTGCCATGCTTGAGTCCATCAATGCTGCCACCTGGCCAATCCATCTCGTTGGGGGTCTTCCTCTTTTTCTCTGACCCTCCACCTTACCAAACATGATATCCTTCTCCAGCAACTGGTCTCTCCTGACAATATGTCTGAAGTACGAGAGGCGAAGTTTGGCCATCTTGGCCTCCAAGGAGCACTCTGTACTTCTTCCAACACAGATCTGTTGGTTCTATGGGCAGCCCATGGCACTTTCAATATTCTCCTCCAACAAAACAACTCAGAAGCATAAATTCTTCTACTGTCTTCCTTATTCAGTGTCCAGCTTTCGCATGCATATAAGGTTATAGAAAATACCATGGCTTGGGTCAGGCACACCTTAGTCCTCAAGCTGACATCTTTGCTCTTCAACATTTGAAAAGGTCTTATGCAGCAGATTTGCCTAATGCAATGTGTCATTTGATTTCTTGACTGCTGCTTCCATGAGTGTTGATAGTTGATCCAAGAAGAAAGAAGTCCTTGACAACTTCAATCTTTTCTCCATTAATAAGAATGTTATTTATTGGTCCAGTGGTGAGGATTTTCATTTTCTTTACACTGAGATACTTAGGACAATTTTTAAGGAGGAACCTGTCCGTGAAGAAGGACATTATGCTTGGTAAAGTGGTAGGTCAACAAAAAAAAAGAAGACCCCAACAAGATGGATTGGCACAGTGGCAGCACCAATGGGCTTATGCATAACAGCAATTGTGAGGTTGGCACAGGACCGGGCAGTGTTTTGTCCTGTTGTGTGTAGGAGTCAGAACCAACTGGATGGCACCTAACAACAACGGATTGGAACAATAGAAAATCCTAGACAGAATGGGAGGAAAGTATAAGAACAAAATTCAAAATCATAAAAAAAGGCCAGACTTCCTGGTCAGATAGACTCCTGGAACCCCCAAGACTGTGGCCCATAAACACCCTTCAGGCCTGAAAATGAACCCACCCCCAGGCTTCACCTCACCAGCAAACAGCAGGCAGATCTAGAAAATGAATAATACTTGTGAGGAACATTCTGCTCAGAACAAAGCATTTGCTCAAAAACAAAGCTCAGATGGCAGGAAGGGACAGGAAAGAAGAAGGAACCAGGGAGAAAGCGGGAGAGTGCTACACTGAAAGAAGTGTCACTAAGGTCACACAACACAATGTGTGTCAACTGTTGAATGGGAAGATTGTTTGCTGTGTAAACTTTCACTTAAATCAGAATTTAAGAAACTGTGGGAAAGAGAGCTTAATTGAGTCTCTGTTGTTCACTGTCCCTGAGTCCGTTCCATTCTGATAGTGACCCTGTATATTGTTTCTGGAGTCCTAGTGTGGCACTTGTGGGTTAATGAGCTGTGCTGCGAAGTTGGCAGTTCAAGCTCACCAGCTGCTCCTCGGAAACCTTATACAGGGTGGCTATGGGTCAGAATGGACTCAACAGCACTTAACAACAACAACAATATTGGTTGTAAGGTTGTCAATTTTTACAGGAGCAGAAAGCCTCATTGAACTGCTGACCTTGTGGTTAGCAGTCCAGTGCTTATCTTACAGTGCCACCTCACTCTACTTCACTGAAAAACAAAAACGAGTAATACAGTGGCCTGCTTTTTGAAAACCACAATGAAATTCAAATTCATTGCACACAGTCCATAAAAACAGTAATAAATAGAAGCCCAGCACAGAGTATCCAGTAAGCATAAGTAAGTGCACGCTTACCTTGTTTACTGGGCACTCCACTCCTGTCAGGGAGTGTAAATACGAAAAGAGACTTTGATTCTGCAGGAAGGGGTTGGGAGAGAGACAGATGCCAGCCATACCTACAAGCAGAATCTTGAATATGATGTAAAATTGTAAAAGTGTTCACTACAGATTAGTGAGAAAGCACAAATAAGCCTGTGCTTACCTTGGTTAAAGGGCTATCTGACACTGATAGGAATCATATAAAATACCCATTGTCCAGATGTGTCCAACTTCCCAGCCCAAATCAGCACCCTAAAGTCAGCCCCATCCGTAGGAGCTTCTCCCATGGCTGACCCACATTACCAGAGTCTGACGATCCCCCACCTTTCCTCCTGTATCCCCCACACCCATCCTCAACACCAGCTTCCACAGACCTGCCACAGCCCCCGGGGGCTAGAAGCGAGAACCCTGGGAGACAAACACGTTTCACGGGCTAAAATCAGCAGCAGCTCGGTCTATGCACAGCCTTTCCCGGGGCTGCAGCATGGAGAGCGCCCCCTGGTGTTCACCGAATCAGCAGGAAAATACACACATGCCGGAGCAGAAGGCATTCCTAGGGAACCGTGCGTTGTATCAAGGAAACGGGCAGGGGCAGAAATGCCTGGAGATGACATTTTTAAAAAACGTTTACTTAAAAAATATTCTTCTTGTTGTTGTTAGTTGCCTTCTAATCCGTGTTGTGGCAACCCAATGTGCGCAGAATAGAATCATAAACCCAACACGTGCAGAGTAGAACCATAAGGTTTCAAGGTTGTGGCAGGTCTCCAGGCCTTTGTTCTGAAGCACCTTTAGCTGGGCATAAACCACCAACGAGGCATTGACCATTAGCACCACACAGGGACTCCTTGTTTCTATTAAGGACCAGACTGTGTATTTTATTTAAAGTGGTCACTGTGCTGGCCTTTCTAGTTGCAGTTCTCAGCACAAAGCAGGAGAGTGTGGCCGCATGAATGACGATCGCTTCTGCCGAGTGGGATCCGCTCACCAGGCACCGGGAGAGGTGTCTCCCCAGTACCTAGGAAGGTGAGGGATTTGGAAATAGTG